TTGTAAACGGCATCCCTACAACAATTCAAGGCCCTCTATTGCGTAGACAAGTTTTCTCACCTTTTATCTTTTCTCCCTCACATAAAGGCCATTCCCCTAGTCTATTCAGGTATAAGGCCCCTCACTGAGTAGAAGTCTTATCCTCTTCGAGAGTGAAAGTTCGTTAGGGATGTTAGGCCCTATAGAATGGCCCAAGACAATTAAAAGAGAGAGGTGATTTTGAAAAGAAGAATCTTTAAATCAAAGACAAACCAAAAATCAAAATCACCACAAAAAGTGTACGGAAGAAAAATAAATGCGAAGCGATAATAAGAAAAGAACACACCGATTTATAGTTGGTTTCGGTCAAACCTTGACCTACGTCCACAATCTTGGAGGACCCTCACAGTATTGGCACTACAAAAGTGTCTCTCCTTTAGCCCCCACAGCTAGGCGGAGAAGCCGTTACAAAATCACTTAAACTTCCCGATGCGGCGGAGTGCCGGGTCCTTTGACACCAAAGAGATCTTCTTTCTTTTGGTGAACTTAACCTCGAGACAAGCCTTGAATTCCGACGGTATTCAAGGTGCGAGCTTGCGGAGCAACGTTGTGGATCCCCAACCACACTCCCTTGGTTCGCCCCCTCAGCAGGATCTTCTCCTCTCTCAAACTCGGCACCCTTTCCTCACTCCTTTCAAGCCTTTCTCTCAAGTTTCCCCCACAAGAACGAAAGCTACAATGGCTGCAAAATAACTTACAAAGTGTCTTGGCCATAGCTAAATAGGAGGCTATCAAATTGTATCATTAATGCAAGTTGCCGCCATTATCGTCCCTGGCCGATTAGCACAAATATGAGGAAAATATCCTGAATATCGCCCTGAAATGAATGCTGGACGATGTCTAAATCATCCTCGGCCGATCTTGCGATCGGCCTGGACGAAATCCTTGATTGGCTTCCAAAAACTGGCCTGACGAAATTTTGGAAAAATTTCTCTGGATCGGCGCGACGATATTTGAATAGGGTCGCAGGACGATTCCACCGGACGATGTCCATAAAATAAGTATTTCTAAGTAGATATGGCGGCAGATTCTTGCTGATTGAGCAGATTGTCCCGGGCCGATATAAAATGCGTCCAGGAGAGTATGTTTTGCATAAAAGACGGCTGCTTTAAAGAGGATGCCCTAATTAGGATTTCTACTTTTGTCAGATCATCCAGGCGATATAAAATATCGTCCCGAACGATGTTTGCCAAAAATGAAACCTTTTAGGGACATAGAAAATCTTCAGATACAAGTCATCAAGATCGCCACAGCCAAAACAATAGACTCAAGAAAAGGAAAAAGATTAACAAACTGACACAGGCCTAGTCTACCCATCTTGGCCTGGTTCCAGATTGCAGTCTGATCATGTGAGATACCTGAAACGTTAGCACATAAGGTAATCGTAGAGAAAAAAAAGGAATGTTTGCTATCATCAAAATCATAAACCATAGATCCGTAACAGAAAGATCCTATGGTTGGGGGAAATTCAACATCACGTAAAATTCCAACGAAAGTCCTATAATGTGCAGAAGTCTAGCAATGAGAGGAAATTTAGCGTCGGGTAGAATTCTAACAAAAGTCCTACAATAGGCAAAAATCCTAAGACAGGAGGAAGCTTAGCATCAGGTATAATTCTTACAAAAGTCCTGCAACAACAAGAAATCCAATTATGGGAAGAAATTTAGCGTCGAATAGAATTCCGACGAAAGTCCCACAATGAGCAGAAACCCAACAATGGGAGGAAAACTTTGATGTTGTTTGAGCAGAAGTCCATCGGCAGTCACCAGATGAGTGGAGAGCTAAAGGAGAGAGTTGGAGGGTGTGCTTCTATCAGTAGTTTAAGCGAGAAGCCAATGATGGCTGATATGAAGTAAAGGACCGCCGGCATCAGATCAAGGGCCGATGATGGTAGGTGTCCAGTGGCATTTTGTAATGCAATGTGCATCCATACTAAAGTGTACCAATATCAAATATCCCTAAGTCAATGAGTCAGAGCAGTGTGATATGCCAGTATTCTAGCAACACACTAACATTTTTAACTGAGTGAAAACGTGGTGATGATTAGGTTATGTCCTTTCTTTAAAAAAAAAGCTGTAGGAGATGTTTGATATGTAGTAGAGAAAAAGTCACTTAAATCCACTAAAGATATTTGACTATTTTGAAGTTACTTATTTCTTGATAATAGTAACTTATACGGATGATGCAAATGTACTTTTTAATTTTAACTTCTAGTGGGAAAAAATATACATCTGAATTTTAATTTATGTAACTACATTGATATTGTATATGAAGTTGAGAACTTGCCCCTTATTGGAAACTGAATTGTTATTGCATCTTTAAGACATATTTTTATATATTACATGATATTCTTTTTTGAGGCTTTTTAGCCTGCTAAGCTCTTCATATGAGTGTGATTTTATCAATCACTTACTTTCATGAAATCCTAATAGAGAGAATGTTATTTACTTTTTTTTTACAATAAGAAAAAACTTGCATTAATCAAAATAATAATGGAACTACAAAGATGATTCCTCCTTCAACAAGCTAACGAAAGGAGGAATCTTATTCAAGATAATATCTTCCCTAATAAAATTAGTAATAATAGCAAAGCTAGCACACATGTCAGCTAGCTTGTTACTATTTCTATCTATACTTTTGAACAAAACAAAATTAAAATCATTGAGAAAGTATAAATCTTCTTCTCCCTTGAATCCTTCCGGCATAGCTTGTTGAAGAAATACAATTACATTAGAATTATCACTTTCAATAATAACACATTTGAAATTGAACATCCAATCTTTGATCACTTATTTCAATGCTTTGATAGCTAACATCTCTAATAGATAGATGTCCCAATGAATGCAAGATCTCCCATAAGCCATCAAAAATCTGCCTTTACAGTCACGGATGACGCCTCCTATTCCAGCTCTATAGGCTGAATCAAGTGATGCATTAACATTGATTTTGAGTCAATCGGGTGGAGGGGGTTGCCATGAATTGGACAGTCTTGGAGACTGGTTAGCATCCCACCTAGTCGAGATAGAGTTACACACCAATTTGGAAGTTGAAGTGAAACTCACAGCATTTGCAGCGATAATAGTGGAACTTTCTTCAATTTTTCATGGATCATTTTGTTCCTAGCTTTTCATGATAAAAAAAATCACATTGCAAAAGAGATTACTCAGCAAACAAGTTTTACGAACAATAAGCTCCATCCATGCAGAACATCTCTCTATACTATAAAACAATGTTATATCAAATCCCCATTTGTTTAATAATAAGAAAACTTCTCTTACTTTAATGCATTTAATAACAATATGCTCCACGTTTTCAACTCCAGCATCACACCTTGGACAGATTTCAAAAATCTGTGGTTTTCTTTTGGTTAAAAAATGGAATGTATGAATAGCTTCTTTAAGTAGCCTCCACCAGAAAACTTCAAGATGAGGCGTCAATTTAGCTCCTTTAATCCACTTGACAAATCTTGGTTCAATTTGGCTTTGCTTCAATCCTTCATAGGCCACGGCTGATAGAGTTTTACAAAAATTCTGGAATAGAAGCTCACAGCAATCTTCACAAGCATCTTGATTTATTTTAATTTTAACTATCAACTCTACCAATTCCTTCCCAAATAATTTGAGGAGTTCTTCAACATCCCAAATTCTATTGTAGATGAACTTGTTCAGGAAAGTATTTTCATCCTCTTAAGGAACCACAAAAGTAGGCCATTTATTTAAGCACTTGTCCAAGATCCAAATGTCCCTATAGACATCAATAGAAGAACCATTTGCTATATTCCATCTTATCAATGAGTTCAGTAGTCTTCCTCCATCTGAAATCAACTTCCAAGCAACTGAACAATTAACTTTGTTAAATCCCACATCAACCTTCTTCCCATATTTTTGAACTAGAGCTTTATGTAGCAGTGAATCATTATTATGTAAATAACGCCAAGCTAATTTGGTTCTCAAAGGAGTTGCTTTATCACTAGATGAGCACAATCCACATCCTCCCCACTTGATTGGTTTACAATGCTCTTTCCAATTGACATAATGAATACCCAATCTTCTGTTAGCTTTATTCCACAAAAAAACTTCTACAGAGCTTGTCTATTTCATGTGGAACACTTAAAGGGACAAGAGAATGAGTGCTATGAAATAAAGGATAGGATCTTAATACCGATTTGACCAAGGTAAGTTTGTCCGCAAGAGATAAGAACTTGGTTCCCCATACATTTAGTATCTTCAGTACTTTCTCCACTATGAATTGAAAATCTGCAGCTACAAGTCTTCTAAGAGCAATCTTAATGCCAAGATAAACAAATTCTTTAACTACCTTGAAGCCCATTATGCGTGAGATCATCTTCTTGCATCTTCGATTAACAATTTTACCAAACAAAATAATAGATTTATTAACATTAATACATTGCTCTGTCCACTTACAAAAATCAGTAAGAACTCCCTTGATCCCCTTAGCCGCCTTCTTAGTAGCTTCAGAGAAAATCACCACATCATCAGCATTAAGTAATTGTGAAATTCTTGGGCTGCCAGGTCTGATTTTGATTCCCATATTACTTTGATTAAGAGCATTTGTAAGTAATTGGGAACAAAGGATGTATAAAATAGGAGAAAGCGGGCATCCTTGTCAGAAGCCACTTCTATCAACTATCCATTCCA